ATCCAGCAGTGGACACGGTACACTCCATAGTTCTTTTCACACAAAAATTAAACATACATTTTATTTATTTCCATTTCATGATAGTGTCTAATTTGAAAATATGAACAAACAATATTTTATAATTTAAATATTAACAATGTAGTTTTCTTATTTTCAAGGGATGCACTGCTTCCCTTGCCTCCTAGGTAAAACCGCCATGGAATATGACATATTATATTATTGTTGAAAATGCAATACTATTAACTGAACTCCGCTCAGAATCGTTTTTCGTTAGCAATGATTAATTTTTGCTTACAGACATTCATTAAATTTTCCTCTATATCCTACCTTCCCAACTTCTCATCTACAACAGTGGTCCACCTATTGTGCGAATTATGTCAGTTTTTTGTTCTTATCAATCATTAATATTTAATTCAATTATTTAAGATCCAAATCCGTTGGTTTATCAACTTTCTTTATTATATTTTTCTTTTCCAATCCTTCCAATTTTCTTTTAAATTTGTTTTTCAAGTTGATCAGTATTCTTCTACATGAATAACTTTTAGGATTGTCTTAGGTTCAATAGTTATATGGTATTTATTCGGATATCTACCTATATCTTCAAAAATTTCCTTATAATTATTAAAAACTTCACTCACTATACTCATAAGATATGATTTCAAGCAATACAATAATTTAATTTAATTTAATTTCATACACACATTGACACATTTTAGCCAAACAAAGAAATTTTTGGTTCCAAATTTACAAATATAAAATCAATCTTATATTCCCAGGCTTGCTCTGACCTATTTGGCCCCCTTTGTTCTACAAATAAATTAGCTTCCCAATTTTATATCTGAGCACCATCTAGTGTTGTTAAATTTAAACAATTTTATAAAAATCATTTTTAGTAGTTTAAAACATGTTTTATGTGTTTATACAAGGTGTAACTGAACTATTTGACAAATAACTTTTTTTCTATTGAATATTTTTAGGTTTTTTTTTGCTAATTATGACATCTTGGCACTGAAAAATGTCTAGGTAAATACTGTTTTAAAGTCCGTTCTAGTTAATTATTTTTAATTTTCATTATAAGCAATTCACAATGGAAAAGTATTTGTACAATTGAATTGGCACCATATATTGTCTATTCTCCTTGGAATAATAGAATATAGAATATAGAATAATACAATACTCAGTATTGAATATTCAATAACCCTTTCATTTTTCTTTTTTGTATTTAATAAAATGTGTTGTTCTTTTTTTAAACTATAGCAATACTATTACATTATTTATAATAACTAGCTTTTTTTAAAAATATGTATGGAGAATAAATTTAGTTTATTTACTCTTTTACTCTAATTACTAGTTTATTTAGTTTAAATTGTATATATAACTAAGAGGACAAGATATATTAGAATGGATAATAATAATTTTTCTTATTATATTAATTGTTATTATTTTATTTTTATTTTTTGAACAGTTAATTTTATTTATAAAACTCAAAAGTAGGCTAAAACAAACTTAATCAAGTTTACTAATGTGTTTCTAATAATTATATGTATTAGTACAAACAAAAAATTACAAAAATATCATATACATACTATCCTCAACAGCTTAATATTTATGGATGGGTTACTCCATAAATCCATAGGCTCAAGTACCAGATATATTATATTTTAGGAGAAGGGCCTGTAGATATTAAGCCAATTAATTTAGAATATATATATTAGATAATTTTTTTTTTTTTATTTGGTATTTTTCAATAATATTAGAATAAACCAAAAAAATAACATTTTTATTTATTTCATATATAATTCATATTTTATTATGACATCAGAACCATTATAGCAGCAATTAAATATATTTTTATACGCAGTAAAATAAAGAGAAAAATATAACTTCAACAAAATAAATAAAATGGTAATAATTATAATATTCTTACAAAAATTAAATTGTGATCTCAATATTTTAGACTAAATTTATAATTAGTTTGACAAGATAATTGCATTAATTTACTGGTTATCCTTTAATCAAGATATCTGCTTGCTGATCTTCTGATGTTATGTATTTTAACATAACAATACCTTCCTCAACCTATTTTTTGATGAAATTATGACAAATGTTTATAAATTTTTTTTGTTATGACCTGGATTTTGAAATAACTTTATACAACACTGGTTATCTTAGTATAGCATTATGGGTTCTAATAATTGGGGGGCATGATAAGAGCCTGCACTTAGCGTTCCCTGCATCGCGATATATGACTCCAATCATAAATATAATATCGTAAACCAATCTTACCTACAACAGTGCTGAATGCCTAGAAATTCAAACTCGAAAAAGCCCTTTTTAGGGCCACCTCTGCTAGCAATTAATGTGATAACCCAAAATGTCGAAGGCTTTTCTGTGACTAAAGGTGAGCTTCTTGCTTCATTTTCTGATTTACTGTGTTCAAGAAACGCACCAGGATGAGGCCAGCGTAAGGACGAAAATGCCAGGAATGAATCTAGTCATTGAAATACTACATTCACAATATGGAAGTGCAATATATACTAAACTAGAAGTAGTGATCGAAAGTGCATCCTATAGTCACAGCAGTCAGATCGAGATACTAACTATTGAGGTACGTAAGTGTACAATTACTTCTAATTCGGTAAACAATCCACCAAACATCGCATTCGAAAAACCAAATAACTTCAATAACTGTGATACAAAGATAGCTGTGGGTGATTTCAACAGTCATAGTGCCATGTGAGGATACCCGGAAATGGATCAAAATGGAGAAAAATGGAATCATGGGCTGAGGCTGAAAGTCTGTCTCTAGTTCACGATCCAAAACTTCCCCCATCCTTCAATAGTGGTCAGTGAAAGAAACGCTACAACCCAGACCTAACTTTTGCAAGCAATAAAATAGCCCCTCAAGCCATACAGAACGTGTGCAATCCCATACCTAATACCCAGCACCAAGGCTTGATATTAAGTGTCACTGAAGTCGTTAGATCCCAAACCGTACCATTGAAAAAACAATTTAATTTTAGGAAAGCTAAGTGGAAAGACTTCAGGGAAACTCTAGATAAGGAAATATGTAATTTAGAAACCAAAACCAGAAAACTATGAGAAATTCGTAGAAATAGTCAAGAAAACCTCAAGACTTCATACTCCACGGAGATATAGAGAACACTATATAAGCGGAATGACGGAAAAAACTTGCGAAATAAATAATAAATATGGAAAATAACAAATGGAGCAGATGGAGAAACCAGCGAAATGACTTACTTCAAGGTGTATAAGCGCCCATGTTATTTAATATTATACACCAATCATTAAAGAAACAAAAAATTTCTTATATGCAGACGACTTAGCCCTAGCAGCGAAGGACACAACCTTTCAAATAGTCGAACATAAATTTGTCAGATCATTTCAAGAAATAACAAAGTATTACATAAAAAACCAACTAAAACCTAATCCAGATAAGACACAGATATGCAGTTTCAATCTCCGAAATCGAGAGGCAAAAAAGGAACTAAAAGTTGAATGGCTAAGAAAACAATTAGAAAATTATTATTGATATTATAGATAAAGCAAAATATAGATATAGCAAAAATCCTGGTAGAAAAGTTGCTCACAGGAAAAAAGAAGTCGATGATACCTACAATTGTTATATTTTCTTATTCAGCTTCCTATGTTTGTTTTTTTTTTTTTGTTTTTCAAATTTGATGAGAAAACACCCAGGACATTGAAAAATGACCTTTAAGTACATCTCCACACTAATTTCCTTTCAAAAAAGGTGTTACACTTAAAATCGCAGCAAGATTTCTGGTAAAATTTGTATACAGATAAAAAGAAATAAAAGAAATAAAAATCTTTGTAAAACCTTATAGGCTTCTTTGCTCCTTAACACAGAATTTAAAATGTTGATGACTAGCTCTGGATAGTCTAGTAAATATCTTACGAAGAACCAGAGATGTATTTAGAATTTTATCACCACAAAAGCACTGCTTAGAAAATGCCAGTCACCTTCAATAGAGAAACACTATTAAAAGGAAAACAGTCCACTTAGGGGGTGAATTGATAAAAATAATTACAATTTTGTCATGTAGAAGTCCCTNCATAGAAAACTTAACAGTAAGCAGTAGACTATTCACCTCTGCTTCCACTCAGTACATAATATATAAGTTGTACATTTCATCATTACTTGTTGGACTGTGAACAAAAAAAAATAGTTTTATTAAGTTTAATCACAAACACCTGACAATAGGTATATCACAAATTAATGATTATTTATGTTGATCATCTTACCCAATTTTCGTAATAGTGTCTCTTCTAATTTCCATTATGCATCCAAATTTGTTGATATGATGTGAACAGTATGTTTATAAATATTACAGTTTGTTTCAAGGAAACAAAAACAACTGACAATACTTGTTAACACCGAGTTACTTTAGTTTGGACCAGGCTCAAGGTTTTTCTTCTTATACTAAACAAATTTTATTAAAAATAATAATAAATTATGAGTAGAGCAAGGATATTGTAGTGACAAAAAACTATTGGAATTGATTCCTTCCTAAAAAGGAACAATTTTTTTTACAAAAATGGAAATAGTTAGCTTAATTTTCAGCATAATAACAGAACACAATCACTCAAAATTCATCGAGTGACTGAAAAACAGATTATAACAGTCAAACAGTCACATTTCACAAATTATTTTTGTATTGTATTGAATACCTACCGACTTGGAATTATCAAAATAAGAATATGATACCATTACTAGATTTTATAGCTGGCAATATTATAGTACAGGGATGGGCAATTGGCCTATGCAACAGATTATAAGAAAATGAATATTTATTTATTATTAACAAAAAACCCTCAATGTTTAGTTTGTTTAAATATTATTGCAATACTAAAAAAATATAATTTAAAAAGACATTACATGACAAATTATTTGTCTAAATATGAAAAATACATTGGTGATATGCAAGAGAGAGTGTTATAATTGATCGGAAAAGAAAACTTCAATTATAACAAAATGTGATGACAACAACAACAACAACTTCACAACAATCCAGTTTAGTAGCTTCATATATTATTTCTAATGAAATAGCAAAATCTAAAAACTCGTTGAGTGATGACGAATTTGTTAAAAACTGTGCAATAAAAATGACTGAAACAATAAATTAAAACAAAATTGCTAGTGAATTTAAAAAAATATCACTTTCAAGATGCACAGTGACATGTCTTTTAGCTCAATGGTCTTCAACCTTTTTGGACTCACATCCCACTTTTTTAGGCGAACATTATTGGCAACCCACTTTTTTAAGCATACATTATTCGCGACCTATAAAAGGCATACATAAAGAAAAATGTTTGTAGAAAAACAAAAAAACAAAACATCTAAAATTACTTAATACTTTGTAGTAGTATTGTTATAAATAAATAAATAAAAATAAAAAAAACTTTTTAACGGATACATAAATATGATTAGAACAATAACACGACTAACATTTATTCATCTTTAAACACAGCGACAACATCCTAACGATAATAATATAATATATTTGTTTTATTATTAGCCTGGTTAACTCTTATTTTTAATGTCATACTAAANTCGCGACCCACTGATTGAAGACCACGGGTATAACTGACACTGATAGTGCAATTCGTAATTTTATTACATATTTACAGAAACTTAGTAGTGGAAAGTGTCTCGAACGATATTTTGTTTTGAGAAAAGAAATACTTGAGTTTCCTAAACGAATAGTACAACTGAAACCACTTATTTAGAAAACTAAATGATTGATAAACAATTTCTATGTTAATTGGCATTTTTAACTAATATTTCTCAACATTTTAACGAGTTCAATTTTGAAAATTGCATTACCCACTGGCATGAATTAACTGTAGAATTCGAAAGACGATTTGAAGAAGTTGAACTTACGCGTCCTCAAATAAATTTGTTTAATAATCCAATGGCAGTTGAAATTGAAAAGCAAGATGCTGCACTTCAATCAGAATTATGTGAGTTGCAAACTGACTCATTATTATCCACGAAAGATATTGATGTAAGCTTTTGAAAAAAATTACCTGTTAACAAATATCCTCTTTTATGAGAGTTTGCGTTAAAAATGTTATCCATATTTGGAACTACCTACATTTGTGAATGTACATTTTCAAATATGAAACATATAAAATCAAAGCAAAAAAATTGTCTTACTGATGAAACATTAAGTCACCTACTTTGTGTTTCCACTTCTGAAATAGTAATCGATTTTGCTGCGTTATCATTAGCAGTCACAAATGTCACATTGAACAAGTAGTAATAGTGTTATTTTTATTTTATTTAATTTAATTATTTTCAATAACCTTTCTTTATATTTACTGTTAATTCAAATTATGCTAAATAAATACTAATTTAAATACATATATACTTTGAATAATTTTTTTTTTCTTTTTGCTATGCTCTAGCTCGCATAGATTTTAATTGTCAAAAACTGGCCCTTTAGTACATTTGGGATGCCCATCCCTGTTTTAGTATAATCTTATCTACACGATTGTCGAGTGTCGACTACATGAAACGTATTTGAAACTTAGTTAGCAATAAATTGAAAAGATGGAAAAAAAGTTGCAAATGAAACAACATCCGTACTCTTATTATGAGATTGTATTCAAATTTTAAATTCAAGTTGAGTTAACATAAATATCCTGAACCAAAATTTGTTGTACCTTATTTTTCTTTTGCGTGTGGATAAATTTAGGCGGTGAGATTGGACAAAAGAGAGAAAAATACGTACTCAAAAGATAATTGCCACAATGATATTTACTTTTTTCTTCTTCGTCATTCACTTTTATGAATTTTTCCATTTCAAACATGTCAGTTGATACTTTATTACAACTATCAATGCCAACACTTGTAGATTCTTGTAATGTACATTTATTGGTATTTCCCTATTAAAATATGAAAACAAATTAATCTTTAATATCTAAACATGTGCCTTTACACTATAGTAACTCAGTTTGTAACTGTTACATTTATTTCTACTTTTTTATTCAAATAGTCTCTTACATACAGCTCTTTCCAGACATAGTACCTTGTATCCTCCATTGAGTCCCATGTATTCCACTTCAAACAAATAGTAAAGGTATGCTTATATTTCTCAAAAATTAGTTGAGGTTCAATGTCCCCCTGCGTTCCCCTCAATTTAAGCATTGAATAGAGGTAAAGATATACAATATAAATTATATATTGATCCCAACCAATATAAAGTGAAAACTTTCAAGACAACAAATTGAAAATATTAAAATAAAAATTTCAATATTTTTTTGTTTATTATGGCATATGAGTGTAATACAATTATTTTGTTTAATATAATATTTATACAATCATTTTCTCAAGTCTAGTAACAATTAATTTTACAGTGAAAATAAATCGTTAAAATCATTAAGTCTAAAGAAAAATAATAAAATATCCAATGATGTCTTAAACATTGTGCAAACAATTGTTCACAAGGTATCAGTTAACTCTTATATGGCAAACGCAAAGATCATCATTCTGTAGTAAATGTTTTTGTTCTTTTATTTACTTAAAATAATTGATAAAAAGTTGTTTGCGTACCCTGGAGTACCACGTTTAGACAGTTCAGTTGTTCAGTGTAGTTGTTGACAAAAGTTTTGATGTTTCAGTGTCTTCGAAACAGTTAACTGTGAATGTGTAAAACCACAAATACGAGAGACTCCCAAGAAATTAGTTGGCACAAAACAAACACTACAAACTGGTGTACCGATACGACGATACATTTTTATCAGTTTAGAAACACTTGATACCGATTATTTTACACCAGTCATAGATATTCGACGATGGAAATCGGTGTATTCCCTCCACTGACCAAAATTAACAATGATAATAGTATAATACTTTTGCGGGAGATTGTAATAAATAATAAACACCACTTGTTATAAGTATAAAAGTAGTAGTTTATTTGAACATAAAAGACAACCAAAACAAACGAAACAACTCGAGGAGTCGATGTTGAGCGACGTAGACGGACGACACGCCCGGTGAAGACGTTGGAAGCTCCGTCGTGTTGGTCGATGAACACCAAGCGATCGCGATAGAACATAGATGAGCCCGGGAGGGGAAATATGTGGCAGCAGTGCCGCCACAATAATATCAATTAAATATTAATCAATCTTATCAACATATACGTCTTCTCATTTCCCGCTTATTGAAAGGCCTCATTAACATATGCCCGTTATGAAGGTAATTGAGCGGTTATCTCGTTTTTGTTGTGACGGGTATCACGGCTATAAATACATATTATATAAATTTCGATAACAGCATAAATCTATAGATAACAATGAACCCGATATTAAGGCGTGATTTACACGGTGCTATATAGTTTACTAGCGACTAGTGAAACACCATACTATCTTACTATCTCACTAGTACATAGTAAAATAGTTATTTCATATACACGATATTAAAATACTAGTAGTTAGTAGTAGTTCAAATACCACTAGTACCAGTAGTCAGTACCACATACAGCCTCATGATATGATAATATATTCAACAATAAAATTAACATAAACAATAAAAAGCGTATGATAATATCTGAATAATAACTGAATAATGAATATTCGGTATCGTTTTTAGTGTTTTCACAAACTCACTGCCGGAGAAATACAAGCTACTAGTTCAAAATAAATAACTAGTGCCCAATTACATGATACTATTTTTACTCGTATCGGATAAAATAGCGCGCTAGTTTGCTAGTAAAGTTGAAATGTTTCTACTTTACTCGTAAACTAGTTTACTATCAAAATAGTTTGCTAGTTTACTAAAGAAAGATCTTCGTCCGTGATTCCAACCTACAAAATAAAAATTCCCGTGTCGTTCTCCATCATAAGTGGAATATCAGTTTCATACCAGTAGTGATTTTACAAAACATTTTGTTTTCTATAAAACTAGCTGTCCTGCGCCAGGCATTTCCCGTACCGTTTTTTATTCTTATTACCTTTATTCCCGTATTAATATATCGAACGAAATAAAATAGGTTGGGTTGGTAGTCCGATGAACTAAAAGTGTTCCAGTGTGTCATACTTTTTTTCATCCATGTTACCATACCTCGTATATACTCACACAGCACATTATTACACATTATTAAATTATCCACTATGATAACGCTAATATTATAAGGACATATTAGTATACTCTAGTGTTATTAGTGTACCAAAAAATACAAAGATTCAAAGATAAAGTTTTACGTGTTTTCACTTTTTACTTACCCTCCCACTAAAACGCATAGTTTTGTGTTAATTCTTCATTCGTGTTACTAAGGTAGCCCATCCTGTTTCAAGCCAATATTAGGCCACCAGACAGTCAGACAGACTCTTTATTTTAAGTTATCATAGTTGTTATGGAATTCTTTTTTTAAAACTTTTTCATTTCATCCGTGTTACTATGATTATCCATTATTCAATTGAATGCCGATCTATGACTATGAGCTAAAATTCTATTGCGCGTCCTATATATTAACGACTGTTGTCTTTCTCTCTATGCCGTAAGCCACTGCGAGGATTTAGCGCTAGATTCCCGTGCACGCGTTCGCGAGTTTCAGCTCTATTTTCAGCAAGACGCTACGAGAATTCAACGTTCGATTGTCGTTCGTATAACTGTGCTGATCGAAGTGAACGTTTGGCCCTACATTCCGTCGCGCGTGCTCGTAAATACTTATCTGTCTATATTTTAAGCATAGTGCTCCGGATGTTCAACGCTGGATTCTCTGGCCTGCGATTGCGACACGTAGTCTATCTGACTTGCGAGACGATCTGAATTTTAAGAAGAATATTTTCCAATTCAACGTATTTTTGCTAATCTTGCTTGAGAATTATCTAGCGAATTTTTTTCTAGGCATATTGTTTAGAAGTTTTTCGATTCTGAGTGGAACAAAGGAATAGGAATGTATTGGTTTTACAATGATGTTTATTTTTTTTTTTTTTATATGAACTCATTTTCTACCAGAAAGCATATTCCGATTACCAACTATAGCACCTTTTCTGAAAGGAAATTTTTTGTGGGTGGTACTTTAAAGAGGTCATTTTTTGAAATTCTCATTAATATTCGAGATGAGGAAAATCTCGGTCTTTAGGTTAAGAAATGTTGAACGTTTAAAAATAAGGTTGTCATTGGCACCCATTTTTATTATTTTTAACTTTTTTAAATAATCATTGTTGTCATGGAAAGGCACATTGTTTTACTCATTTTATCATAATATGACATAGTACCATATATTGTATTGTTGACAAAGCAACATTATCAACTGAACTTGGCTCAGAATCGTTTTTTCGTTAACAATGGTTTATCGTTACTTACAAATATAATAAAGATAATATATATATAATATATATAATATATATAATATAGATACAGACGAGAATACAAATATAAATTCTCGTCTGTATCTTCCCAACTAGTTTTTTTTTTTTTTTGAAATCGGTGAAAATTATAAGAATAAACATTGTACATGCTTTGCTATTGCTAGATAATAGTGTAAATAATAATGATGATAATAATAATAATAATATTTTTTTGATCCATTACAACCAAATTATCATTCATCATCCAAAGTAACCTACGAATAAACAAAAAATAAATAAATAAACAATTACCAAAGATACCTAAAAACCTAATTATTGAAATTTTTGTAGAGATACCTATTTTTTTCTAGTAATAAATATAGCCTATGTTATTTAGGGATGTAGCATTCTAATGTTAAACGAATTTTTGAAATCGGTTCAGTTGTTTTGAGTTAATTCATTACAAATATCCAAATCTTTCCTTTTTATAATATTAGTATAGATAGATAAATGCCTGTACTTAGATTTTTATCATGTATTATTTTAATTGATCGATGGGCTCTGGTCAGTACATCTAAATAATACTGAAGATAATATATATATATATGAAACATGTGACAACTATGATTCTTACTGTGATTATTGCGATAATATTAATATCAGTATACTACTTGATATATTGATAAATGTCTACACTATGCAGTGTAAGGTTAAATGATATTATTATTGAAGCATCGAGATTGGCATCTTTATCAATAAAAGATAAGGCACACGATCTTGTGCAATTATCACTACACTCCGGGCAAGAAACTGGTGGAGTGCGCACATGTGAAACATAAAAATGTACATAAGGGCAGTCAGATGGAAAATGCTATTTAATGAACGAATGCATTGCTTCTTAAATTCAACCCTTATCCAAATACTTACAAGATAGTTATTACATTCACCTAATTTATTTACACCTTTATACTTATTAGTCTTATATGACTTATTTGCCTTTTCTAGAATTTTCAAAACGTATTTGAGATTTTTTAGACCTATAAATTTTATGGGAAATTTTTAAGTAATTTTTGTTCTAGAGGTACTCTGTGGATAAAATTGTAAGACCAAACAAAAATGCTAGCAATATTTTACTAGAAGTTCATTATAAGCCATACATGGAAGAAAAAACAAATTAGTGTAGAATATTTTTACAAGAATTTTAATATTAAACTTTAACATAAATTGTTTTAGTAAAAAATATTATAAAATTAAATTTATAATGTATATGTAATTATTTTACCATAATATATATTATTAACATTAATAGCCAAACAGAATCAATTTTATTAGCAATGGTTAATCGTTGAGTACAGATATCATACATATCATACATTTCAATCATTTTATTCATAACAGAACATTGCTAGAAATTTAATGATATTATATGTACATTTTATACTTATTGTTTGCTCGTGTAAAGCATAAGCGGTATTAATAGTTTGCATCATAATAAATACACAAATGTGAACAAAATTATATTTATACAAATTTATTAGGTAGGGCAAATATCAATAAAACTTAAAAAAAAAGATTTCATAAAAAAATCCATACAATATATATTATTCATTATCAAATGAAAAAATATTTATATATAACATAAATGAGGTTTTTTCTAAAATGTACAATCTTATGGTATTTACTTACCTATTCTTATATTAGACCCAATTTTTTTCATATCAAAATTTTAGGGTTACAAATGAATCAATAGTATAATATACAGAAGTATAATGTATTTTACTATAATACTGAACACTAAAAAAATCTATGATTAAAAATTCCTGTCTAGTATATTGTACATAGTTACATTATTGTATCTTTTTGTATACACTTTATTAGATTCAATGATATAGTATCTTTCCAGTGTAACATGCATATTAAATCATTTGAACAGAAAAATAATATAAATATAAAATTGTAGAGCAGCTTGTTTCTTAAATATTCTAGAAAACAAATTTCAAAATAAGTTAATACTTTCTGAGATAATGCATGTACCTACTTAAATGGATCACCAGTATAGCCGTCAGAAATTTGTTCAAATGAATGATCACAAACTGTGTAGGTTATGATAATAATTTAATTTTGCTTTAATTTACAAATATATGATTATTATTAATCATTACACTTAGGGTTTCTATTCCATATGTTTTTTTATATGTAAAACCAAAGAAACTTTTTGTCTAAATGTTTTTTTACATAAATCACATTTAAATGGTTTTATACCAGAATGAATCAACTTGTGCTGTTTTAAATTGAATAAATGAGCAAATGATCTTTCACAAACATCACATTTAAACAATTTCTCTCCTGTATGAATCAAATTGTGCCTCTTTAAACTGGTTAATTGATTAAATGAAACTTCACAGATATCACATTTGTATGGTTTATCACAAGTATGAACCTTTATGTGTGCCAACAAATGTGATTTCAGTCTACATAATTTTTGACAAAAATTACATTTAAATGTTTTTTCTCTAGTATGAATCATCAACTTGTGTTGCTTTAAAGTAGACAATCGAGTAAATAATTTTTCACAAACATCACATTTAAATTTTTTTTCTCCAGTATGAATCATTGTGTGTTGCTTTAAAGTAGACAATCGAGTAAATAATTTTTCACAAACATCACATTTAAATGGTTTCTCTCCAGTATGATCACATATGTGTGCCAAAAGAGTTGATTTCAGTCTACATGATTTTTTACAAATATTACATTTGAAGGGTTTCTCTCCGGTATGAATCAACTTGTGTTGTTTTAAATTAGATAATTGTGTAAATGGTTTTTCAC